GGGGTCGTGTGCCTCCAGGCCTCTGACACCCCCCTCAAAGAATTGCTAGGGGTCACGGCTGGGGTTAAGACCAGGATAGAGACAGTTTGCTGCTAGCCAAGACTCTCCCACTGTAGCGTGCTCAGGTTTGGTAGGGCTGCCCGGCCTAGCCTGGGATTAGCCACAGCTGGCTGCAATTCCAGCTCTCCTCAGACTGGCTTCTCGCTCCCCTCCACGGCTGGGGCTGGGGCTCTCGGGGGAATGCTGACGGGGAGGTTTGGCTTGTAATCCGCTCCTGGAATGTCGGCCAGACGGTCAAATTCTTCTCGCCTCTTGTGAAATGAGTGATGTGGGGCAGCTTGAGAGAGCAGCCTGCCGTCCCTCCCCTGCTGGAGAAACCTGCCTGGCCTGCACCGCCCTGTCATGGGAACAGGCGCTTTCAGCCTGAGCCGCCGCAAAGACACCAGTGCCGGGGGGGGGAGGAGGGCTGTTTCCCTGCTGGCAGACCCTCGCAGCAAAGGAGGTGTTTGGGGGGAGGAGGTTGTGTGGGTGCCCAACAAGCGGGGCTCAGCGTACAGGTTGCTGAAAGGAAGATGGCTGCTCTTGCTTGCTGTCCACATTCCCCTTCCTTCTGTTTCTTTGGTGGCTCTGCTCCCTTAACAATTCTCCGGATGGGGTCTTTCCTCTCCCCTTGACTGGAGGAAATCCGGAGTCCGTCTCACTCTGCCCCTCTCCCCCCCGCCCCCCAAGCTGCATTGCTCTGCGTTGCCTGCAAACGTTTTGAAAGATTTCCCTCCTGTTTCTTTCCCAAACCCTGACCTTGTCTCTCAATTCCATTTTTCCTTCAGAAACCCTGATGGATACGAAGTGGGTGACGTCCGAGTTGGCGTGGACGGCTCATCCAGAGTCCGGGGTAAGACTCGGGTCCTCCTCTAGGAGCCTGCACAGGGCTCTGGATTCCAGGTTGAGCTGCAGGTCTTATCCGTTCCGAACTGGGACCCTTCACGAGACAAGGGCACCCTTTGGGTTCCCTCCTGTGCCCGTTGGGTGCCTTGTGAAATCACCCCCGTTCCCCAGACCAGCTCTTTGATGCCGACTCCTTCGTTACTATGGGAGTCGCAAGTGCACGGCACTACACAGAGAAGAGTGAAGTTCTCACAGGCTTCAGCGTGACAGGGGGAGTAGCGCCAGGAGGGAGCAGGGCAGGGACAGACCATATGGGTACCTCGGTTCGTACTGGCTGTGTGCGTGTGTTGGTGCTTTTTGGGGTAATCACGTGTCTGGTTTCTGCAGTGTGGTTTGGATTAGTTTGCTGTGGGGGTGGGGGGGCCGTGTTTTGAAGCATTCCGGACTGCCCATCCCAGTGGCTAACCTGCCAATCTCTCTCCGCTGCAGTGGGAGGAAGTCAGCGGTTACGACGAGGCCATGAACCCCATCCGAACGTACCAGGTGTGCAATGTGCGGGAGGCCAATCAGAACAACTGGCTCCGTACTCAGTTCATCCAGCGCCAGGACGTCCAGCGAGTCTACGTGGAGCTGAAATTCACTGTACGGGACTGTAACAGCATCCCCAACATCCCGGGCTCCTGCAAAGAGACCTTCAATCTCTTCTATTACGAGTCGGATACAGATTCTGCCTCTGCCTCTAGCCCCTTCTGGATGGAAAACCCCTACATCAAAGTGGATACAATTGCCCCCGATGAGAGTTTCTCCAAGCTGGAGTCTGGCCGCGTGAACACCAAGGTGCGCAGCTTTGGGCCTCTCTCCAAGAATGGTTTTTACCTGGCCTTCCAGGACCTGGGCGCCTGCATGTCCCTCATCTCTGTCCGCGCTTTCTATAAGAAATGCTCCAACACCATTGCTGGCTTTGCTGTTTTTCCGGAGACCTTAACTGGGGCTGAGCCCACTTCTCTGGTCATTGCCCCAGGGGTCTGCATCCCCAATGCAGTGGAAGTGTCTGTGCCCCTGAAGCTGTACTGTAATGGAGATGGGGAGTGGATGGTACCAGTTGGAGCCTGTACGTGCGCTGCTGGATATGAGCCTGCCATGAAAGATACCCAGTGCCAAGGTAAGCACGTGGCTAGATGGCCTGTAACATGTTCTCTTCCTCTGGAGTAAGGTATGTGTCTCAGCAGAGGATGTGGGTACTTCTCTGCTGGACCAGTTGTGAGTTGAGCGTTCTGTGGCCTGAGGCCTGGCGCTTGCAGCGACTCCTGCTCTGTCCTGGACATTGGAGTTTGATCTTCTGTGATTCTAGCTTAATGACCATTGTACTTCTGGGTCTCCGCCTGGGTGCCTGATGGTGTTTGAAGCCTCAGAGCTCACACTGATGTTACCTAGTTAACGTCAGCTGTAGTGCACTCGCTGGCACCCAGTGGGTTCCAGCAGCTGGGAGCTATGGCCCAGACCTGCCACCTCCTGGTCCTTTCCTTGGCATCAGGGCGAGCACCACATGCCATTGAGGGGTTCCAGTTTTGCTGGAGGAATCATAGAAGATTAGGGTTGGAAGAGACCTCAGGAGGTTCTAGTCCAACCCCCTGCTCAAAGCAGGACCAACCCCAACTAAACCATCCCAGCCAGGGTTTGTCAAGCCGGGCCTTAAAAACCTCTAAGGATGAAGATTCCACCACCTCCCTAGGTAACCCATTCCAGTGCTTCACCACCCTCCTAGTGAAATAGTGTTTCCTAATAGCCAGTCTAGACCTCCCCTAGACCCCCCTTCTGATTTCAGCTTCTGATGTCCCTATTTACAGGCCTAACAGGGAACCTTGGGATCAGTGGGTCCTGCCACTTACTGAATGGGATACTCAGTATGAGGTCATGCCAGAACCCAGTCCCCACCCCATTCCACTTCCAAGTCTTCCTTGCACTAGGCAGCTAGGGGATGAGGTCCTTGTATCTCTTGGAGAGGGAGGCTAGAGAAGTGGGGCTGATGTCAGAGCCATACTGCATCTCTGGGCAGTATAATCCTTACGTTAAATTCTCAAGATTATTCAGAACCCACAGCCGTTTAGGACACTCGCTTCCATGTGTCCGTAGGGCAGCAGTGCAGGAAATAATGTGGGTTCAACTTTAATTTGTAGAGTAGTGCCCACAGGGCAAACTGCAGGAGTGAGGGTGTTGGGAGAGCGTCTGGCAGTGGTGGCAGCCAACTGTCACCATCAGAGCCTGCAGCAGGGGTATCCATATTTAGAGAACTGGCTTCAAAGAGCCTGTACTTATAAAGGTGTGATTCATTTGGTTCTCTTCTTAACCCTAAGGTCAAGAGTGAGCATGGGGAAGCTGGCTGTGGTGTTGCTCAGATTCAAACGTTGATAGGGTCTCTCCTGGATTCCAAGGGGGCCTTAGCCCCCTTCCAGGAGATGGGGGGGCTTCTAGCAGGTGGTCTCAGAGACTAGATTGTGAGGCAGAGGCCCTGCCCGGCAATCCTCAGACAATTCACCTTGCACAGGAAGCTGCTGGAGCTAAGACTTTACCCAACTTGTGTCTGTGCCTTTGTTTCTCTGACCAGAGAAAAGGCAATAGAGGTTCGAAGGAGCAGTGCTTTGCAGTAGTGAGTTATCTGAACAGCCAGGGAGATCCTGGAGTCATACTGTGCCAACGAGTAACGAGGGATGGGACTTCTGGTAATGCTTTTAGCTTGCCTTCTAGGGCAGGAGGGAACAACTCACCAGCAGATAAGTCAGATCAACACGAGTAGTTTTCATGGAGACTGAAGCAAACTCCTTTTCTGCCAAATGAGATTCCCCCCCATCCATGAATCTCTGAGTCAGAATAGTATCTACTCCAGTGCATCAGGGGTTCCAACTTTGTGTTAAATGATCATTACATTGGGGAAGAGGATGCATCTTTCGTTCCTCATCTCCTTCTTTCAACAAAAGTTGATCAAGAAGTGATCTGAGTTCTGTTATCCTTGTCCATGGCAACCCCTTTGTTCTTGCCCAGCCCTCTTTCTTCATCAATAAGGAAAGTTCCTTAGACCTAAAAATCTCCATGTGATGCACCAGTTGCTGGGTTATTAAAAGGGGAATCTTTGCATTTCTCTGGGAAAATCGTGTTGTGCTTGTGGAATAGGAGATCTTTTGCTAAATGGTCACGTGCCCACAAAGGAAAGCAGCTTAAGGATTCGGAGAACCTAGAGAAGTCGCTCCATTTTCTTGTCCCTTTACCAGTCATTTTAGAGTTCTTCTGTTAGTGAGTTAAGGATTGTCCTGGGATACAACCAAAAAGTAATTAGCTGTTATCTCTGCCTTCCACGCACGTGTCTAAGGGAGGGGTCTTCTGTCATCCTTTGGAAAATAGTAGAAGGTTTGGTGCATGTGTGTGCCCATTCGCATGCAAACCTAACCTGTCTAAGATTGACGTTATAGTGATGTGGAGCGTGTTAGCTCATTCCACTACTCTCTGCCTCCCTTTCTAGTCATAACATGGGGATGTTGTTTATTGCAGAGCACCCAGGGGTCCTAATCACATTTGTGGCCCCCATTGTGCCGAGCGCTGTTCAGACAGAGGTAGAAATGGTATTTGCCCCAGAGAGTTTTAATGGTCCGTGTTACTTACAAAGCGTTTTACAAAGGATGGTGATCTCTGGGTGAAAAGTACCTATAAGGACCAGGAATCATTTTAATGGGGGGAGGGGGGGGAGGAAAACCCAATCCTGAGTTACTGCTGAGATGGGGAAAACTCTTCTGTAAATCCACCCCTCTGCAGACTTTCTATGGCTTTTGAAGAGATCCTCATCTCCGTTATCTCCAAGCCGCGGCGGGATTAGACTTTGTATTCAGACTGGTTAGACCTAGGTGGTATCCTGCTCCCTTGGGGGTCGAGGGCTCGTTCTGCCAGGCGGAAGGCAGCGTCTTTGGCGTGCTTTGTACGATACGTTTCCACAGCATTGGTTCGCCGTCTCGTTCTCGGGCGCGTTGTCTTTATTTCATTAGCACACCGCTCTCTCGGGGCGGTTGCCCTGCTCGCTGCTCTCCCAGCATGGGGATTCCCAGAGGCAGCTCTCTCCGGAGGGAGAAAGGTTGCTGACCCGTGGCTGTGGTTCTTGGATTACATTGCCTCTGTGGCTCCACCAACCCCGCCCAGCTTCTCTGGACTCCTTTGGATTGCTGAAGGAGGAGGAACGTTGCGGGGGGTCGGGGAGGATTTGCTGCCTTTTCCATACTGGGGCTCAAATGCGGAGTTCCTCAAAGGGATGCGCCATCTTCTCCCCCACCCCCAAACGGTTGCTAATTTCCAGAGGGTCCCAGGACAGCTGCATTGTGTAGACGTGCCCTCATTGCATTGCCTCAGCACACTGCTACGTCACCTTTCATTTGTTTGCTGCGTCTTTCTTTAAAACCAGACCATTCCTACTTCGGATGGGACAATGTTAGGGTGAAATCGCCTACTGGAGTTTTTTCCTCCGGGTGCAGGTCATATCAGACCAGAGCCAGCGCTAGGCATAAGTAGACTAAACAATTGCTTAGGGTCCTGAGCAGCTCAAGGGGACTCGTATTAATTATTAATATGTGGGGGGGGGGAAATTATTCCTGCTTAGGGCCCCCCATGGGATAGCACTGGCACTGTCAGACGTTTGTCTTTGAGGGTGAGGCACAGAATGCATGGTAATCTTTGCTTCTGACATCTCCCCCTCCCACCCTCAAAAAAACTCTGGTAGGGGACAGTTTATCCAGTTTTCTTCATTCCTGGTGTCCATCACATCAGATTGATGGGATCTCTAGAGATGTCTGTTTGAAGTCTCGTTGACAACACACCCCTTCCCCATGTCTTTCAACGTCCCTACTCACATGATCGTCTGAGACAAGATTGGAGGCAAAATATTCAAAGTAATCCACTTCCTGGAAAGCAGCCCAGCTTCCCTGATTTCTGTGCACATAAAATCAGAGTCATCGTGTTACAGGAACAATGGGCTTTGTGTACATTTCCTTCTCTTTTGTTAGACTAGAGAAATGTGATTGCATAGTTCAATAATATGTGAATATCTAATCGGTTAAATGCCGAAAGAGAGCGCACCCAGAGCATGCGTGCTATGCTTTTCTCACTCCTGAACTTATTCCTCAACCAGCTCCCTTCCAAACTCAGCAAAGCACATGTTCCTTCAAAGCCTGTGTACTAAATTTGAGCTTTTTCAAGGGGCGCCGTTGGGTCAAATTGGGGCCAAAGTCTGGACTTTGTAGAAGCAAACTTTTTGCAACCAGTGACTAACAGAAATGTTACCGTGACTTTTTAAAAAACTGCCTACTAAACATCGCATATGCCAATTGTTTTCAGCCCCACGTTGCAACACTGGGTTACTGCATGAAAACCAGGAAGTGAAACTAATTATTTAGATAATTAAAAGACGAGGTGACCGATTCCAAGAGAAGAAAGCTCGAATTTTAAAAATCTGTTACTTGCAACACAGTTAAGGAAATCTGACCCCTAAATCGTATTTCTGATCCATCAGTGCACTTTACATTCATATTATTGTGATTTGAGTAAAAAAAAAATTAAATGATCCTTTTTAGAGTTGGTTTTACACTTTATTTGGGCATCATTCAAATACCCAAAGGCTTTTTCAAGTTTACTCCAACCTGTGTGCCCCTTCTCTTCTCCCCCCTCCCCCCCCCCAAACGTACCACTTTTGGATTGAACCGGCATAAGACAGTTCAGCCCAAAGGGTAATTTTTCTTGAAATGAAGTGCCTTGAAAATAGAAGCTTAGAATGAGCGTTGTCTCCTGAACCGCAGCTGGAACGCTGCTGCCGTGACGCTAATCCAGCTGTAGGCACTTATGGACGAGTAATGTGAGTGAACGGCGCAGGTTCACAAAGCCCAGATTGTCCCAGGCAAACTTGATTGCTGCCTTTAACAAAATGACAGGGTTGCCGGACAAAGGGATGTGATGGGTTTAATTTCTCTAGACTCGTGAGGCTTTTGCTTTAGTCCTGCAGGGAAAGGAATAGAGAAATTGGAAAGACGCTGTCTGGGTTAGAGTACTGAAGTGTGGATCAAATACGGTCTCAGCCCTTAAACAGTACAATTCGAGGCTATTATCCACTCCTAAGAAGGAGCTAGAACGCAG